ACAACAACCACCACAACAACCACCACAACAACAACAACAACAACAACAACAGCAGCAGCAGCAGCAGCAGCAGCAGCAGCAGCAGCAGCAGCAGCAGCAGCAGCAGCAGCACCAGCAGCAGCAACAACAACAACAACAAGTAACTTCAAGTACAAGAGCAATACCAAGAACAATGACAAGGACAAGGACAACAGTAAGAGTAACAATAACAAAGTAATAGTAATAACCATCGCCGTAGTAGTACATCTACCAAAATATTTTCCTCGCATAATATCAACAGTAGTAGTAGTCGTCGTAGTAGTAGTCGTCGTCGTACTATTAGTACTGGTACTGGTGGTGGTCGTGGTGGTGGTGGTGGTAGTAGTCGTATTATTGGTAGTGGTAGAGGTAGCGGTAGCGGCAGCAGTAGCGGTAGCGGTAGTGTAGTGGTAGTGGTCGTAGTAGTCGTAGTAGTCGTAGTAGCAGTAGCAGTAGTAGTAGTAGTAGTAGTAGTAGTAGTAGTAGTAGTCTAGTGCGTTTGGGAACAGAGCATCCATTATGGGTTAGGCTGCAGCATTTCGCTTTTCTGGGCATCAGGTCCAGGTGTTCCGAGTGCTGTAGAGAAACAGAGACGTGTCGGACCCGGGATTCAGGTTATTGAGCACTTTAGGGGCAACTGAGGTTGAAAGTTTGAAGTTCTCCTCTTTCATTCGGGTCATGGTTCAGCTCGTGTTCGTTTTGGGCTGTGCTGGCGCTGGTTGCATTTGTAGTGTAATTTCTCCGAAAAGAGGTTGTTCTTGCGACCTGACAGAGATGCGAACTCTGACTTAATGATCTACTGCAGTTGCGTTTGCGGATATGCGGTTTGGGTGCACGATTCTGGCGTGGTGTTTTCTGGTTTACGATTTCAATTGCTCATCATCCTCAGTTGTCGGTGTTCTGAGAAACTAAGCCTGACGTACATAGTGGGCCTTTTTCCTGCGTTTGAAGGTAAAAGTCGGGGTCCCTCATTTTCCGCTCAGAAGCCTGGGTCAGTAAGCAGCTTTGAGCTTCGAGCCTCAAACCCGAAACCTCAAGCGACGAACCTCTCGTGCCTCCAAACAATGTAGAGTCAATGACCACCCCCCTATCCGTTTAGTTTGGCAATCGTCTTGAGGGGCCTAATTACCAACACATCAAAGGAGAAAAGAATGTGTTCTATCGGTTTGTTCCGACACAGGAATCCGACGGTTTGCTGGGGTTGTTCTGGTGTCGCACGTTTTGTGTCACTTTGTGTTAGATCGCAGGGCCGTGCCCTTGACTCTGAAGAAGATTCGCCCCAAACCCTGAGTGCGCATACGTGCGCATATTCTATTGTGTTACATGGTCATGGTGTTTCGCTTTGTTTTCAACCAACAGCGAATCCCCTACATCTTGAACCCAGCGATTTAATCCTCAAACCCCGAACTGGTGGCCCCTTCAATCCGCAGCCCCTTCACCCTGTATGTGCTGTTCCTTGAATCCTGTCGCTCAGGCCCGGCATCTTGAAGATCCGATTTGCAACGGCCGAAATCTTATGGTGGCTTGAGAACAAAGGATCGTAGCGCCTGGAATCGCGGGCCTGCCTTATTCTATGGGAAAAATTCAACTATTGACGCCTCCCTCAATTTGACCATTTGCGTCAACTCAAGTTGGGAAAGCTAAACAAATCATAGATCATAATATATTTTACTATAATATATATTTTTATAAGATTTATAAAAACAAAATTCTGATTGATTTCGAAAATATAATATATAGATATTCATAAATAAATAAATATATATATATATATATACATACTCAAAATTATTGAATAGACACGGTCGTAAATCAAAAAATATTCTATATTAATATGATAATATTTCTCTAAACTATATGAATTTATTTCGATGAATAATTTATTGAATTCTGTTCTTATAATTTTTTCATATAGAACTGATAAAAAAATATCGGTATAATATTATTTTATGAATAATCTATGCTATCTGATTTCTTATAAAAATACAAATCAATATAAAGATATATAGTAATATATTGAGATGAATGATGAATTATCTATATATGATCCCGGTTCGGCTGCCCCCCCCCCTCCCCCCCAATGGTTCCTCCTC